ACGTTTAATATGCTGATTAAAATGTTTCAGGTCTAAATTATACCATATGGCGAGTTTTAAAAGACGACTGTTACTCAATAGGAGCCACTCTCTAATCCAAACCATTGCTATAGCTTTGTAGTAAATGTACCAATCCGGAAGGCCGAACCCTCCTCTTTCCTTCCTCTCTTGCATAAGCCTAAGCTTAATTCTTGGTTTCTTAGTCTGCCATATAAAATTAGAAACCATTTTTTCCAATTCATAATTTTTTTTCTTATTTCTTACTATAGGGATATTTTGAAAAATATAAATAAGACGAGGCAGGATGTTCATTTTTATCACCGCTATACGGCCCATCAAAGATAGACATATGTCTTTCCATTTATCAAGATCTTTGTGAATCTCTCCTAAAATCTTCCTATAATTATCTTCAAAAAGTGAGCTACACCTTTTAGATATTACAATCCCCAGATATTTAACAGTTCTACATATCTCAATGCCAGTCTTCTCCCGAATATGATTTTCTATTTCTGGTGAATAGTTTTTCGTTAGAATCTTAGTTTTTTGGAAGTTCACCTCTAGCCCTGCTACATTACCATATTGTTTCAACACTACAAGTAATTGGTCTATTGATTCCATTGGGTTCTCTAAAATGAAAGCCAAATCGTCTGCATATGCCTGTAATTTAAATTTTTCTCCTTTTACATTTAAACCTTTAATACTATCATCTTCTCTTACTATATCATTTAGAAGTTCTAAAGCAAAAATGAAAAGTAACGGGGAAAGGGGGCAACCCTGTCTTGTTCCCTTCTGGATTAAGAAGGATTGTGTAGTGTCTCCATTAAAACAGATCTTTGCTTGTTGCTTATGATATATAGCCTTAATCATACGATAAAATACTTTCCCACACTCATAATGCTGTAATTGCCTTAGTAAAAACTCCCAACTCAGGTTGTCGAATGCTTTTTCAGCGTCTAAGAATAACAAGGCAACCTGTTTATCAGGGTGGGTTTCATAAAATTCCAAAACTCTCAGTTAGTTTCGATTTCAAAGGTTTCTCTTTCTCCGTCCTCTTCCCCGCCATCTTTCTTGTTTACTTTGACAAATATTTTGAAAGTCTCTGAATATGCGCCCAAACGCCTGAACTCACCCTGGTGTTTCCTAACAGTTGTACATGCTTTCTCTTCCACTCCCCCCCCCTCAATTCGCTCAAAAGTCCATGCGGTTGGGAGGCGTTCCTCCCCCGCCCGCCCCCATACTTTCCGTTTTACAGAATGGGGTAGGGAGCTTTCTTTTCTCTTTAACCGCCGCTTGCAGCCTTCACCACTTCTCCTTCTGCCCCCCCCCCCCCGCTCGCCTGTCTTTCGGGTTCTTGGGGTAGGGAGCTTTCTTTTAAGTTGACAAATTTCGCTCAGTCCGACTCACGTTCATATAAGGTCTTACAACCCCGCTTTACACCGTTTCGGCCTCTCGCTCTCCCACGCTTGCCTCGGTCAGTGTCACTAGATCCCATTTGGGCACTTTGCAGGAAGGACCATTGGGATGGAGGAGCGCCTCAATTCACCCACAACACGCAGGTGAAGAGGCGACTCCTCGAGAGTCCCCTGGCTAGGAGCCTTCCGCCAGGCTCCCGGGGGGGGTAACGGGCCAGCGCTCCCCCTCCTTCCCACTGTGCACAGAACGCATCCCCGGGAGGTCCGGGAGACGCGTCTGCCTAGCGTGCCACCATTAACTGGAAGCCCGCCTGTGAGATTTTTGAGGCTGTGTCAAACTCTGCAATTCATTCAATTGGAGGGTGCTTTTTACTAACGCAAGAAGCTTCTTCCAGAGTAAGAAAGTTCTACCATTGGAGTACAACCAATTATATTTGAATGCTGTTCATTTAAACATATCCTCTATCTCAAAAAGTTCAGAGTATATGTTAAATATACAGAGTTGCTTTATCCTGAGTCACACCATAGTTCAACATTGTAGCTCTCTCATGACTAGCCAGAGCTGATGTGTAGATTTTGAAGCCAAAGACTCCCCAGGACTTGGTATTAAGGTCTGTTTGTTTAAACTGGATATTGAACCAGGGACCTTATACATGCAAAATATGTGCTCCATTACTTTGCTATGCGCACTGCCCATCCTTCAGTCAGTTCTGTTTTTATTCTTTCTGCTTTGCTTTCGTACAGAAATGATCCTTTCTAATTAGTGCAGCAAGTAAATTTGCTCAGCTCAGATGTCTCTGGCAGACTAAGGATTCTGGACAAGTGAATATTTTGACTTGGAGTTTAGCTACACACACCTGTGCAGGTAAGTGTGCAAATATGTTTTGCCTACAGTGTCAAGAAATACTGGATGTGATCTAGGGCAACTCATAATGTGCTTCTGGATGCAAACACACAAACCAACAAAAACCACTCTTGCTGTGCACACATTAAAATTTAGCAGTTTTAGTACCTAAATGTTGCTTGTTGCAATGGCAGTAGGACCCCTCTTATTAACAGGAGACTGAACTAAAAAGAAAAAGAAAAAAAAGGAACTATAGGTTAGATCCAAGGACTCTCTTTTAAGTGAACACCTTCTTCCACTGGAGGAAGATTCTTACTTAGCAGAAGAGCCTTTGGGTCCAACCCTAATACCATCTGAAATCTTTTCCCTGTTTACTTATCCTAAGGTACAAGCTACCAGTCATTTCTCTAGCTATAGAAGGATATGCTCAGTTTGGAAAGAATACCTTAAAACATAAGGATATACTTACAGGGGTAACCATTTACTAAAGCAATTTCCTACTCTGACTGCTTTTTTCACCTTGTATTAGTTCCAGGATTTCATTTTGCAATTTTAGGGCATTTGCAATGTAATCTGAGTCTTTCAGGGAAAACACAGATTCAGATATGTTTGTATTGTTTCTGGAAAACTAAGATGCCATAATTCATCAAAATATGTCTTAGACAGTGTCCTTCCATGTCTGATAGAAATGAAGACATTTCATCCACTGTAGCCTTCTGACCAGTGTAGGTATTAGTCCATATGGCTCCACAACCCTGAGAATAAATTTTCCCAGGGTCAGAAAGGACTGGAGGGAAGATCTGTAATGTTCACATCTGTGGACTGCAGAATCCAAGGTATTTGTATAATTCCTCTCAGGTTTCTTCTGGATGTTAAAACTATACTTACTCAATTACAGCAAGAATATTCACAGCATTGATGACAACAAAAGATATTGCTTTTATTTATTTGCTGACTTGTTACTGTGGCATCTTAAGTGACAGGCAGATGGCTTTTTAGGTGGTCATTTTTAATATGCTTGACTGAGAACCATTTTGCTGTAGTGGGCAAGTATGTTTAATGTTTTAGCATTAGATCCCTATTTAATTTAAAGGTTTAGGGGAAAGTAACAGCTTTTGTAGGGAATGAATGAGCCTATGACTATATACTCATCGCTAGGGGAATTAGAATTTGAAAGATGGGACAGGAATACACCTTCCTTCTAATCCAAACCCTGCAGCACCAGTGGAAATTGTACTGGTTATTTTGCCTCCAGCTGTGTATCACAATACTGACATGCACTTGGGATGCACATCCACTGTGCATTGTAAGCTTGCTATTCCAGTATGAGAATCTGTGCACGAAAGCACACTATACTGTAGATTCCTCCTTGTTGGATCAAGGCATAAGAACACAGGATTTGGGGTTGCCATATACTTACAGAGGGTACCAAGGCATACCTAAAACACAGTTACAAGAACAATACCCCCAAGGTCTCGTCAGTTTAACAAATACCCTGAATCAAATTTTCTATAATGAAAGGGAGATAAGCAGTGGCTCTCTAAACTGTGATAGTGACAAGAAAGCTCAGCCTAGTCAGTAGAGTTATCTTGTAAAATGTCCATGTATTCAATGGTGGTCATGTAAGTGACATTGCAAATAGAACTAAAAGTTCTTTAACGACTCTCCTTCAGAGGTCTCTCAATTGTATGGGTCTCAATTGCATGGAGAACAATTGACAGAGTGTGATGTTGCAAGTCTGATCCCTTGGACCACACTAGAATCATGCTTCATTCCTCTGACAAACAATCGAGTACTGTATAATACACCTGTTAAGTGAGATCACTGTTGATCAGATTCCTCCATGTTCCAGCAAAAGGACCAGCAGACGACACTATAGTATTGAGCATATTTTAAAGATAAGCAACATCTTTGTTATTGGAAATCTTCCCCAAGTTAAGCATCATGCATTTTCCCAATCATCATGGTGAGTGCCATCTTTTTGTAATCTGGAATCCTAAAGAGAGAGTTCTCTAAGTAATTACATGCATTCTTAATTTTTTTATCAACTTGCCGACATCAGGAATGATTTTATCTTACTCAAATAAGTTTATTTAAAAATATATTTTTTCCAATTTAGAACTTCCCACAATTAACAATTTATATATAAAATATGTATGCCTTCAGTGAATGGAAATAGTTTTTATTGTACACATACTTGAAAACAAGTTTTTTATGCAAAATATGAATTTCTTAAAATATGTTGTACTCTGGCTATTCGAAGCAAGCAGGCAAAATGGTAAAACAATCTTTTGGTGTGCACTGGGGCTTCAAGAATAACTGAAACGGTAAAAAGTATAGTTTAAACTGTGGGATGCACAGCTTTAAAAATGTGCATAAATTATATAATTGACTATACAGTTGGTAAGTATCAGTGTATTAGTGGAAAGAGGTGTTTATAGGTACACTCTACCAGGTCCTTCTCTCAATTACTATTAATTTCAATTGAGTTTAGCACGGCTATGGATGAGATGGTTAGACAGTGTCATAGATGCAACGAACATGAAGTTGAGCAAACTTCAGAGGACGGCGGAAGACCGGAAGGCCTGGCGTGATCTGGTCCATGGGGTCGCGAAGAGTCAGACTCGACTGTGTGACTGAACAACAACAATGGATCCCAGCATGCTGTGAGATTAAACCTGTTGTATCTTACTCCTGCAAAAGCTTCAATGAAGCAAGCAGGAATTGCAAAGGAGTCTTGGTTAGTGAGTTGTTCCCTTGAGAACTCTAGTGAGAGCCCAAGTCCATTTTTTATTGTTGTGATATTACACAATTCCTGGTTCTCTCCTTCCAAGTACTTAACTTCTGTTTCTAAAGAACACAAATCTAGTGAAATGTCTTATTTCCTTCATTGAAATGTTACATTCTATATTTCATTAGCACACAACATATGCATATGCATATATATAAGTTTTTTTAAAAAAGAGACTGAGGAGGAGGCTACAATATGTCTTTTACTGCCAACATATTTAACATAGCATACTGTAGTTGTATAAAACATCCATTTTCTGGGATAAATTCTGGACATGGCATAAATGAGCTCACAAATTATATTTTGTACACTATTTTTTAAAAATCAGATTTAAGTGCCTCCAAGGCCTTTTCCTCCCAGCAATGTTCTCAAAAATACACAACTGAAATTATTTTCCTACTCCTACAGCTATGGGCTAAGTGACCAGGATTCCAACAAAAAAAGGTTTAAAATACATCTACAGTATGTTTCAGTTACTAACGGGTTTGTGACAATCCTTAGATATTGTGCGGTAAGATTGTAAAAACAGCTATTTTTCCCTCCAGAAATCAAAATACCTTGATAATATGGGTGGAAAAAAGGCAGAATGGAGTTTTATAGCACTTAGTTAGGGGAATCTAAAGTCAATGGCTAATATTGAGGTCTGTAAATAAAGTTCAATGGAAAAGTTGAGCTTGTGTATGAAAGCTATATATTAGTTCTAATACTACCAGTTCATTGTTTCTGCAAATCAGTATTTGACCCAGTCTTCTCTTCCAAACCTTTCAATATACATTCAAAATAAACTGACATTGATATGAACTATTATATGTAAACATAGTGCACTATATTTTTCTGCAACAAAGCAAAACTGCATTCTAAGAGCTGGTAAACCTCTAATTTCTCTCTCTCTTAAATATCTAGAATGGGCATAGACTTTAAAGGGAACAAAATTAATTTAAGGCATTCAAAACCAGTAAAACGGCTGCCCACTAAAATAAATGAAATTAGCATCTGCTCGGAACTCTTATTATACTTAATCTGCTCAATGCAGACATGCAGTTTTCAATATATATGTATGAATGATATGAACTTCAAAAATATGGCTTTATACAAGTGCATAGTTGCAACTGCAGTGAATGGTATATGATTAATATGTATAAAAATAAAGTGGAAAGTTTAAAAAAAACCCTCTTGCAGCATTACAGTACAATACAATATACATATGTACACATACACAAACACATACACACAGTATATGGTCACTTCTTTAGGATGCAGCCATCAGTGTGACAGAATCTTCTCTCACCCCCAGCCCCCTCCATCCTCTGGCACCTTTGCTGGTGGTGGCATTTCTCTACCGAGGCTGGATAAGGGATGGATTCTCCTTGTATTCCTGTACTTTCTAATCCTTTTGTGAAATGTAGTGCTATAGATTTATATATAGCTGTCTTTCAGAAGTATATATATATATATGTATATATATATATATATTTCATTTGTTTCGGGATACAGTATCTCAGTCTTTTTTCAGTGGGAAGAAAATCACCTTCAACAGTGACTACATTGACAGAAGGCAGTTAGCTAGAAAAAAAGAAGAAACATTTGGTTAGCAGATTATTTTGTGGTCTTCAGGCCTAGATATTAATTACACTGCTCTTAAAATGAGTAGCAAACGCCGCTGTGCTACAGTTTCTTCACACTCAACTGAATGAGGCTAAGCATGTAGCATTTCTGCTTTGATACATACACAATAAAGCTTTTGCAGGCAGAACCAATCTGGGACTCCCTTTGGTGTGCACTCAGAAAAGAAAGTAATATGTAAATAAAAGTCAGCCACTGACAAAGCAGTAACATCCTGTTCAAGTAAAACTACCTGGCAAACTAATCTGTACTGAACTCCCTCTTAAGCTTCCTATCCAGGCCAACACAGACGTGTCGCTATAAATCCATATTGTGGCTGAGTTGCCTTTGTAGCAATGCACGGAAAGCAGTTTCATCCAGTGCAATTCTCATTGTTACGGGCAGGTTTGGAAAAGCAGGCCTGGCTCCATCTTCAGGGAAGAATGGGAGAACAGAAGAAAAGGGAGCCCACTTGTGGAAAAGTCTGGAACTCTCCATCTTTCCCTCCCTTAGTTCCCAGCTTAGTTAAATACTAAACCATAGAACTTTCCAGATTAAAAAAAATACTACCTGCAATTTGTATATACCATTAGATTTCATTTAGAGATACTTTATGATAGATACGCTAATAGAGTTACTTGCAATGTAACGCTAATAGAGTTATTTGCAATGTAACCAATCTTTCTTATAAACTGTATTTGGTACAGACACAGCACTGCACACTTACATGCATTTGCGAAACAACTTAGATTGCTCTTCATAAACGCACTGTTCAATATTCTTTTAAAAAAGACATACCAATGCAGAGAAAGCCAAGTCATATGCAGATATTACGGCACTAGCAGGAAACACAGTATGCAAATCCTCTGAGCATGCAGAATATGCCCACCTCTGAGCATGCAGGAACATATAATGCACTAAACAAAACTATATCTTTGATTATTTAAAAGCTAACTGCATACAGTTAGCAATAAATACATGAAAGAGCATGTTGTGAAAACCAAGATGTATCTATGGATTTTAAGAAATTCCTTTTTCTCTCTCCAGGGAACTCATTCAGAAGTATATAATGTCATTGAAATTTTTGTATAAAGTGACTTTTGTGGGTGGGAATTTTAAAAATCCAAAACGGCATGCTTTGATAAATCCAATCCATTCTTATTGATATTCACCCAATTTTCGGCTTCAGAAATCAAACACATCATCATCATCATCAACATCTATATCATCAACATCATCAAATGACCAATCCCAGTCTTTAAATGTCAAATCAAGCAATCTGGAAAAGGAGGTTTTAATGTTTATGAATCATAGTTTGCTAAAAACATTCTCAACATAATAAAAGCTATTTCCATACACATTTTTCTATTCTGTGTTTTCAAACATATATAAACTTATTTGAACATGTATGTCAAATAAAAATAAATTCTACTGGCATGTATCCAGTCATCCACAGTGTCTGAGGAGTGGAACTTCCCTGCCTTCTGATATTTTGCTCCTGCTAGTCAGCAGACCCTCAAGATGGGCATAGGGGGCAAAGTGGGGAGATGAGTGGAACAGAGGAATTAGCAGACATCACTGCTCTTTAACATAAACAGAAATCCTGTTCTGTTGGAGGAACTTCATGCCATTGTTTAATAAAGGTAGGCCCTCCATACCATAATACCCCCCAAACTTGGAAATAAATGATTCAGTACACTGACTTCCTTTTTAAAAATTACTAAAGGTAATGAATAAATGTTGTCCAAGATAATGAATAAATGTTGTTGTGATTCAGGAGGGAAAATAGTTCTGTTAAGTAGAGCTGATGCTTGATTAAAGACATCTCAGTTGATTATATGGGTTTGAATAAGTTAGGTCTGTATATAAAGTGGAGTTCTGTAAGAGGGGAAATCTCTGTTCCCCTCTGCTGGCCTTCTTCCCATACTACCTCTGCTATCCCTTCCCCTCATAGTCCCTCCTACCCACATATCTATCTCTCCTCTCCTCCCATTCAGCTTTCCTAGGTCCCCGTTCCCTGCCCCTCCCACCCACCTATCTGTCTGTCCCCATGTTGTTTTCTCTCCTTCTTTCTCTTGCCAGCCCTCACAACTCTCGGTCTGTCCCCATGTTGTTTTCTCTCCTTCTTTCTCTTGCCAGCCCTCACAACTCTCGGTCTGTCCCCATGTTGTTTTCTCTCCTCCTTTCTCTTGCCAGCCCTCACAACTCTCGGTCTGTCCCCATGTTGTTTTCTCTCCTTCTTTCTCTTGCCAGCCCTCACAACTCTCGCTCTCTCCCCCTGTACAGCCTCTCCAACCTTCTCACAACTCTCGGTCTGTCCCCATGTTGTTTTCTCTCCTTCTTTCTCTTGCCAGCCCTCACAACTCTCGGTCTGTCCCCATGTTGTTTTCTCTCCTTCTTTCTCTTGCCAGCCCTCACAACTCTCGGTCTGTCCCCATGTTGTTTTCTCTCCTTCTTTCTCTTGCCAGCCCTCACAACTCTCACCCGCTAGGCCCCCACAGCCTCTCCAACCTTTATCTGCCTCCCCCTCAGTCTTCAGCTTTCCTTCCAACTTTGCCTCTTCTTCTCTCCGCCCTTGCAGCTTCTCCTCTTTCTTTGCTTCTTCCTCCGTAACTTCATTTTTCTTTCTTCTCCCCGTTCTATTCTGGTTTTACTTCTCCCACCCATCCTCCATTTTGACTTTCCTACTTGTTCACTGCTCCTTCTCCTATGAATACACCTTCAGTTTCCAAGAGAAACTGTGACTGTCTAGGAAAATCTTTAGAAATTACTACTGGAGATCCAGTTTGGTGTAGTGGTTAGGAGAGTGGACTCTAATCTGGGAGAACTGGGTTTGATTCCCCACACCTCCACATGTAGCTGCTGCTGTGACCTTGGGTCAGTTACAAGATCTTTCAGAGCAGTTCTCTCAAGAGCAGTTCTCGAAAGAGCTCTCTCAGCCCCATCTACCTCACAGGGTGTCTGTTATGGGGAAGGGAAGGGAAAGGAGATTGTAAGCCGCTCTGAGACTCCTTTGGGTGGTGAAGGGCGGGGTATAAATCCAGTCTCTTCTTCTTCTATCCCATCCTTACTTCCCTCACCGTCAAGGCCAGTCAGCCTGGCACTCCCCTCTCTTCACCTACCCTTCTGGCTCATGCCTGCTCACTTGCCTGTTTAGGAGAGATTATGGTGGCAAGGCTGCTGTTGGCAGTAGTAAGCAGAGACAGCTCCTGCTCCTCCTCCCCTGCCCACCTATGCTGAGAGGTGATGGCACAGTTGGCATCAGTGGCAGTCTCTCCAATGGCTCCATTCAGCTGGCTCTAGGGTTGCCAGGTTCTATCTTGTCACCAGCTTTGGGGGGTGTTCCAAGAGGAGGCAGGGATGTCCCTGACACGATGACATCATACTTAAGTGATATCATCACGCTGGGGATGCAGTCCCTTGGAAGGTGCCAGTGGCACCCGCTTGCAAAACCCATGTAACTTCAAATGATTTTTGCAAGCAGGTGCAACACAAACCTGAACTCCAAGCGGTGAATTTGCCATTTGGAATTCAGATGCGGGCAGCCCCTGCTTGCAAAAAAACATTTAAAGATAACCTTCCCTTGAAATGTTTTTTGTGTGTGTGTGTGAGTGGGGCATCAGTGTGTGAGTGGGGCACCGCACACACCTGAACTCCAAGTGGCAAATTCACTGCTTGGAATTCAGGCGTGGGGAGCCCCCCCTTGCAAAAAAAACATTTAAAGGGGGGGGGTACTGTGAACTTTGAAACGGGATGATCGGAGGTACTGTTTGTAGACAGTTTAAATTTAAGCTTAAAAGAAAAGTATTAACTTTACATGCTTGACTCAGTTTATAATGTTATAAATGATGGAAGATTGAATGTAACTAAGCTAGTTGGAGGATCTCCCCTCTTGGGATTTTAGTTAGTAGTGGGTTCTTTGCTTTATCCCTTAAATGTAGTTTTTCCTCCCCCTTTTCTGTTGTAGTTTTTGTAGTGATATAAAAAAAATAAAAAAATCCCCTCTGGGGGCTTAAAAAAAAAACCTTTAAAGGGAACCTTCCCTTTAAATGGTTTGTGCAAGCGGGGGCTGCCCATGCCTGAACTCCAAGTGGCGAATTCGTGAACTCCAGCAGGCCACATGCTTCCACTGATTAGCTGGAGGGACCTTTAAATCTCACAGGAAGGGAGGGTGCAGGGTGGCTGCCTGTGGTCACTGTTGTGGGCAGGAGCCCGTGAAATTGGGGGATCCCACACTCCCACCTGGGGACTGGCAAGCCTAGATGGCTCCTCCCTCTCCTTGCTCACAGTAGGTTTATCCTGTTGGCATAAGTACAGATAATATTCCTCTGTTTTGGTTGGACTTAGAAACCCTCCATTTTGAGGCAGTTCACATTTGTCAGCAAACTTGGGGATCCCCCAGGTCTGCACAAAAATACCCCCTCTTCTGAATCTGGCCCCCTTCTCTATCAATCTGCACATGGGAGCCAAATTTAGCATTAGATGAAGGATACTTCTCACAGATCTTTTGAACATAGACTTTTAATTGGCTTTCTGACATCACATTTTTAGCCAGAAATCTGCAACAATATCCTATATGTATCAACAGGCAAAGCATGAAATGCACAAAAATGCCTTTCACGCAGTTCTGAAAACAAACTTAGTTCTGAGTATTGCTAAATGACAATATTGTTTTTATTTTGATGGTTTTTAAAAAAATCTAAAATGGAGAATGAATTGTAAGACTTAAGAGCGTATTACAAGACAATACACAGTCTGTAAACTTAGATGCTGATATCATGTTTACTATTTCTTACGTTCCTCATATCTCCTGTATTAGGCTAATTACATATGTGCCTTACAAAAATATTGTCATTTAGGCTTCCTTACTGTTAGTTCTCACAGTTAACGTGCATTTGTGCTTGAGCCACAGGACCCTATTACTTACTGTTGAAATGTTAAAACACATAGTACAGAAAAAAATATCAGTGAAGAATAATTCGAAGAACAGGCTCAGAACTAAAATAAAAATAAATAAATGATAAAGATGTAAGAGCCAAAAGACATGGTAGATGCTGTCTTCATTTGCATTTTTCCATTTCTCCAGTTTGAACCCAGAAATCATCAGTCATACTTTCATAACTTCAAGGCAGAACAGCAGTAGTGCATTCTGTAAGATTTATTTTTCAAGATTATTCTGAGCAGAGTGTGGTGGACATAGGGATGCCAAGTCCCCCCAGGGGGTGGGGAAACCCCCGCCTGGGAGGCCCGTTCCCCACCGCCGCCGGATTGGGCCCCCGGGGGGAACCCCACCCCCAAAGCACGTCACACGGAAGTGACGCAAGCACGTCGGGGACATTGGGGGTGAGGCCACAATCATCCGAGGGAAAACTATGGGCTGGACTCCCCCGCTACAGAACAGGTAAGCACTTGGCAACCCTAGGTGGCCATCTGGAGGAACACTGTAGTAAAGCTGTACATGTTACCTAAAAGACTTCTGAACTCTACGAAGGTTTGTGGTTTGGCCTTATAAAGCTCTTATGACCACAGGTCCTTTTGGATTTTTGAGGAAAGGTAGTGGGCAGTACCACAAAATGGCTGCCACAAGAGGCAAATATAATCACAAAATATTGGGAGATTCCAGGCTCAAGTATCTTTGTATAACAGAGAGAGCTGCCTATAATTAAACAGGCACTCCCATACAGACCCAAAGGTGATGCCTTCTGGGGTGTTCTAAAGCTCTTCCTACTCCAGTGAGATGCAAGAAAGCAGCAAAGGCTCTTTGCTTAGGAAAAGAAGGAAGTGGGCACCAGGAAACACAATAGCAGGCACTAATGCTATAGGATATGACTAGCTATAAACCATAGCAAATGCATAGCATTACTGAGTTGTTAAAGACAGGGAATTCAGACAATATGATCAATTCTGACACTCATCTGATTTCTAACAACAAAAATTTGTTTATTATGCAAAGCTAAAAAAAGTACAAAAATATGAAAAATATGAAAAAGTACAAAAATATAATTATTCATGCTGTTAGTTAGCCAGGCTTTTATACCCACATAACAAGATATACATAGTATGATGTTTTCACTATGTAAATATTTTTGTGTGTCTTAATTCTATGTTTTTATGTGGAGTTCAGAGGTCATTTCGGGGGGATCGCGGGGGATCGCAGTTCCCCGGGTGAGGTACGGGGGTGGGGCACATGATGAAGCCCCGCCCCCTGCTTCCGGCTGCCCCTTTTCCGGCCCTCATTCAGCCAGGAGGAGGCAGGAGAAGAGGGAGGGTAAGTTGCTTCGTCCCTGCCTCTCCCCACCCCTGCCTGCCTGGGGCCAGGGAGGGCCTTCGTGGGGCTTCCATGCACTCCCGCCAGCCTTGCAGGTCCACCGCCGGGCCCCTCATGGGGCTCGGCAGTGGAGCTGCAAGGCCAGCGGCGGCCGGGACCGTTGAGGGCGGGGTGTGTGGCCTTATGACACACTTCCGGTGATGTCAGGGGGTGTTGCATATGCTAATGAGTTATGCTAATGAGTTCCCCTAGCTCTTTTTCTACGAAACGACCCCTGGTGGAGTTTTATATGTATGTTGCTGTAATTTAAAATTCAGGCCTATAGAGTAAGAAAGGGGGGGGGGCTGGCTGTGTTAGCCTGAGCCTCCTTTTGCCACGTGAAGGACGGTGCCCTGGCCAGGTTAGGGCCAAAGTTGGCAAAGGGCAAGTATAGCCCTCTCTGTGTGCAAAGCCAACTAGCCCAGACATGTGCTCAGGACTGTCTCTCTCTGACTCATTCAGCCATTGGTTCAGATACATCAGGCACGTACATATCTGTCATCGTGAAAGGACAAGGTCTTCAATTTCATCATCTCAAGGATGTCAGCAAACCTGCATTCCAGTGCTACGTCTCATTATCAAACCTCAGGACTTTGTCCCTCGATACTGGGAACCCCCCCAGCCACAGTCTATTGTCGTTATTGTTCTCTGGATAGCTCAGCCATTAATGGAGCCAAGACTCTGCAGTTGCCCCATGCCTTAACTAACAAAAGTTTCCCTTCCCAAACCTGGACTTCTTTTGTCCAAAAGCCCTTCTGAGCCATCCCGGACCATTTCCTTATTGTGCACACTGTCCCGAAGGCACAATTCTCCTGTATCTGGACTCCAAACCCAGCCATCTTTGGTTGTCTTCTGGGATGCGTACCACCTGGATCCCCCATCTCTTTTGGGTCTTCACAGATGTGCTTGCCAGCCGAGTAGTCTGCTCTTCACCATGGACTCTCCTCTTCAGAAGGTAGCTATAACCCCCATCAATGCTTTGCCCTCTCGTCTCTGATCTCTTTAAGATCAGTTCACCCCTTTATTTCCTAGCTCATGTGTGTGTGTATGATATTTTTATCAATTAGCTGAGCATATTAAGGTTATTTTCTTAATAAATTTCATAAAAGAGATTTCCTGTCTGTCGTCTGTGCCACTCTGAGAGGGTTCTGACTCTTATCGTTGGAGTACAATCCCTGGCTTGCACACCTATTAAGAAACAGTGTCTTAGCTAAATTCCCCCATCATAACTCAAACAGAGACCCGGTGTTGTGGCTAACAGCTGGGTGATTGAAGCATATTATGACTGGATGGTAGCTGTACCCTAGGGGGTGCAGTTGACTGGTGGGTTCAGAGAGGAGGAGAGAAAGTTAGAATGTGGGAGAGGAGGAAAGAGATTGAGTGCTGTAGGGTGTGATAGAAATCCAAGTTCTGTGTGGAAGTTATTAGTTTAAATGGCAAGTGATGGAAGTTAAGCTTTGTGCAAGTTATTAGCCTAAGTGGCAAGTAAGAAAATAAGCCGTTGTTGCTAGGTTTATATAAGGAATTTTAAAGAAACAAGAACTGTACACCTATCTGGAACCATTACACTTATGTACCTATCTGAAACCGTCAAGCTTATTAACCATACAGAAACTGTCATGCTGTTATACTTACAAATAAACTCTATTTCTGTTTAAGAGAAAACAAAAAGTAAAGGATCCCCTTTTACTTCAGAGCCACTCCTCATAGGTTGACTGTTCTTAACCAAGCCATCCTGTTCCTTAGGTCCAACTAAGAATTCTAAGGCAAGAGCCTTTGGCGGCAGTGAAAACAAGTAGAAAACGCTACGGAAGGCAACACACATCACCTTAGAACACTATAGAGAGGTGTAAAATAGCCCCCATCTTGGCTTTGTTCAGACATGACAAGCCAGCATTTGCTGCTATTTGAACAAAGCTGGGAGATCCCTTGGCTTGTGCACGCTCCCTTCCTCCTCTCATATGCAGCAATCTACTTAGATACTTCTACTTTGTGACAAGTCTTGGGACCATGACAAACGATATGTGTGACACAAGTTGGGTTACAAGTGCCTGACTTGTATCACATACATCATGTATTTTGGCCCAAAATTTGCTGTTATGTTCAAACTGGCAAGGTATGGTTTGTGTTCTCCCTGCCAACTGGCACTAAGCCAGATTTTGGAATCCTAGAGCAACCACAGGATGATGCTTTAGAAATAAGAACACTCTATGGCTACTGTGAATAAAAACATGAGGGAGGGGGATCATGCCAGCCAAAGTGTTCCCCAGGTGAATTCAGCTCACATCTCCATTGTTTTAATGCTAGAAATCAGAGTAGTGTTTGACAAAGTTTAAGCTGGTTTCTCCCTTGCCACCTTATGAAGACAGGGCAGTGGGGGTGAAGCAAATGGTCTGATCTGATATCATGGGGATTCTAAATTCAACACAAGCTATATGTCTTGAGACTTTGCAGCAAAAGGAAGACACCTTCAAGCTTGAGTAACTTATTTTAATGGAATATATCAGCACAAGCCATATTACTAATTAGTATGGAATGCAAGTGATAGAAAACAAAGCAATGCTTTGCTGAATAAATGGAGTTTACTAGTAAAAATAAAATTTGATATATACTATAGCCTTCTATTTCCATTGGCATCTCCTACAATAAGCAGCCAATCATTTCTTCTCTAAGCATTTTTAAAAAGAGGATTCGAACAGAATGACAGTCTTGGTACGGCAAGCAGGCTAAATGAATAAATACTGCCATGATGGATGCAATTTTCAGAGAAACAAGAGTCTATACTTGACCATATGAACTGCCCAATGCAATGATCTGAAAAACAACAATTTAAATCTGTCATATTAAATCATTCATGTGCAGGTATTTTTACCTTGGTTTGTTTGGAGGAAGCTGTCGGCTTGGCCGTCTGATAGACTGGTTTGGCTGTACCTTCATGGAAGTCCTTGGAGAAGATCGTGCAAAAGGATCTGGAGCTGGAGGCTTTTTGGGAATCTTTTTTACTAGACGGCTCACCCATTTCTGCTGCTCCTCTGTAGAATTGGCTAACAGTAGTAGATTCTTTGCCGTTGAAACATCATAATTTACTGAAATATTAAAATTGGCATCTCTGAATAGATATGTAGATTCAATTAACTGTATTTAAATTTTAAAAATCATAGATCATACTGTTCCTACGGACAACAGCTGCAACCAACTAAAGCTGAGCACATTTCACCTCAGTTAAAAGATGCTTATCTTTGGTTGGATTGAGCTTAAAGCTATCAAGAAAAACGACAAAAAAACCCCTCTTTTCAAACAGCAAAACAACAAATATAAAACCAATGGGTTGGAAACACCGGATTTCCCACTGAGAATGGAACGGCAGTCTTCCTTGAAAGATAGCTAGCCACCTCTCCTCATCTGCCACACTAAGCCAGAGGGTAATAGTGGATGCGCAGAACAACAATGAAGCCCAGACAGGCTGTCCCAACACCTTGAATAAAGTGGTTGCCAACACTAGAATTAGCGCCGGAAATTTTTACAAGGCATAGGGATTCCTGGATAGAGAAATCTAAGTGGAAAGGGGCTCTTGAAAACTCTTGCGCTTGGAGTTGCCGGTCCCCAGGTTCGGGCAGGGGATTCCTTGATTTAGAATCATAGAGTTGGAAGGGACCTCCAGGGTCATCTAGTCCAACCCCCTGCACAATGCAGGAAATTCACAAATACCTCCCCCCCCCACACACCCAGAAGGTAACAAAAAAACCCTCCAGGATCCCTGGCCAAAATGGCCTGGAGAAAAATTGCTTCCTGACCCCAAAGTGGCAATCAGCATTTCCCTGGGCATGTAAGAAAGGGCCACAAGAACTAAGCTCTGATGCAACCCTTCCTGCTCTCCCTCTCATGATCTGCCTAAGTTCACAGAATCAGCATTGCTGTCAGATGGCCATCTAGCCTCTGAAAACCTCCAAAGAAGGAGAGCCCACCACCTCCCAAGGAAGCCTGTTCCACTGAGGAATCGCTCTAGCTGTCAGGAAGTTCTTCCTAATGTTTAGCCGAAAACTCTTCTGATTTAATCTCAACCTGTTTGTCCCAGTCTGACCTTCTGGGGCAACAGCAAACAACTCTGCACTATCCTCTATATGACAGCCCTTCAAGTACTTGAAGATGGTTTCACGGGCTTCTCCCCACTGCGGATCAGATGGCTGGTATGGGGGGGGGGGAACTCCACCCCCAAATCTGGAAGTGACGTTATTGCATCGGGGACGTTGTGTAGGGATGCTCTGGTATTTGGGCCGCTGTGGATCAGATGGCTGGTGGGGGGGGGAACCCCACCCCTAAATCTGGAAGTGACGTTATTGTATCGGGGATGTTGTATGGGGATGCTCTGGTATTTGGGCAAACTCTATGGTTTGAGGGCAAAAAACCCATAGAGTTTTGCCCAAATACCACAGTGTCCCCCCTATGCGATGTCCCTGACGTGATGATGTCACTTCCAGGTGATGTCATTGCATTGGGGACATCACGCAATTTCCCTGCCCACCCCCAGAATGCCTCCCAAATCCCCCCACCAGAGCAATGAGTCATGCCAGCATTTACCCATGTATTGTGAAAATACAACCTGTTTTTCCAATTATATTTCAGAAGTTATAGAAGTATACATGCATCTTAGTTAACAACACATATGGATAGACTCTCTTCCCCCACAGTGAAAAGTAGGAGAGTCTTCTCTTTGAAGCACCTCTGCAGGTACTAAAGAAGTCACACAAATTGCATTTGGTCTGTCCTAACAGACCAACCAAAGTTATGCTAAGTATTTATTTCCTAGGTACCTTTGCAAGGTGCTATAATCTCTTCTTTTTTATCCATATGATCTTTATGACACTTGATATGGCAGCGTCGGCATTCTAAAGCAGGAGGAGGTTTAAACATGTGCCACAATGGTTTCATACAAGCTTCACAATTGGTTGGGAAGTGATAGAGAGTAGGTATGAACTCGTGTCCTTTATGGCAAATGTAATTTGACTTCTCCCCCATTGGCTCTACAGGAAATTCTTGCTCCTTTTTGCTTTCTCCTTCATTAGCATACAGGATCTAGAACAGCAACAATAAAAGACTAAGCTTGGATTACTTAAGATACAAGGCATACTTCCTCGAAAGAAAACCAGTGTTGTTGTTAGAAAATGAGTAGAAATGAAAACATGAAGGTAGAAAAAGAACAGCTGGAAGGAAAAAAACAGTGACAGAGAGACAATTCAAGCAACACTGCAAGTGTCCTGCCCATACTTTAATCATAATATTTGGTTAAGGCATATGCAGATAAAGGCCCCAGAATGCAAAGGACTGAACTGTACTATAATTTCCTGTATTTGTTTAATGAGTTTAACTACTGTACTATGTTTAAATAATTCAGACCTATACAGTTTCAGATGTATGGACAGTTCAAACGAACATCCAGCGTGTGGATGCCAGGGCTGGAAGTAATGAAGGCATGCTTGGTAGATGTCATGGACTTAAGTCTCACTCCCTAAATGCTTGTAAGCTTGTTATACACATCTAAACCAACCCAGAAGTATGCAAACATGAGAAATGAATTATACGAAAGGATGCATCATGTGTACCAATCTTACAGTGATATGAGCCCTACTTGCAGTTCTGATGAACATATGTAGAAATGATTCAAAAACACCAGGGAACTTATGAAAGAACAGATTTCTGTTGAAGGTGTGTTTGGGGGACTGACCTATTTTTTTTCAAAATCTAAGCACACTAAAGTACATAATTTTGATCTAAGTTACAGAGTGATTCAAAGAACTTTTCTGAATTTACTGAAGTTTTTCAGAACAAATACATACAGAGAATGTTCAGATAACTGTACAGACAAAAACATCAATTAATTAAATAAGTCCTAATAATTGGCAGATATGCCACTTTGTTCCCCCACCCTTCAATCTTTTGTTTTAGCATTATGAGTTTTGAAAGGCATACCTGGAAAATCCTAGGAATCTCTTTCGAATCTGCTCTGTATACATCCGTTTGTGTGACTGGCCGGACATGGAATAATTTGCTATATAAGCAGAATATGATAACAATGTAAATAAAACCCGAACTATATTATAAAGCAAGCAATCCTTCCTAATCTACTTCAGTAGGGCTCACCACAGCCTCTAAATTGAAGGTTTAAATGTATACATTTAAAAAGGCAACTAGTGTTTTAAAGCTTTCCCAATATAGAGTGTACAATTGACAGTCATCATCATTCATCATATGGGATTAGCCAGTCAGGGCAGAGCAGGCATTTTTGGAAACTGTCTCTAACCAGCTGTGAAGCTATGAGATAATCCTTTTTATCAACTACTTCATATGGTATCAGAGACCTTAAGATTTTTTTAAAAGCAGATCTCATTAGACTAGCCTGATAAGATCTTAACTGAGGGAGCAGGTATGAAGCTGGCCAGGACGGTTCAGAGCCAGGATGGACTCATCCCAAGGCCAATAGTGCTTACCAAGTTCAGAGCCAGGATGGACTCATCCCAAGTTTGGTAGGCCATTTGCTGGCTCAAAACAGAGTTGGTAAGTAAGTAACAATGTATGTCTTTAATTATTTTAAAGCTTTTAAAAAAACAAAGTTTTAAGACAAATGAGATGGGCAGGAAAACTTGGCAAGCACCTCAGCATCTACTCATGAAGGGAGTTCACCTAAGCCAGCTGCTGTATGGCTGGGGGGGCATAGGAGGGTGTGCTCCTTTGAACTGAACCTTAGCTGCTGTATAGCATATGGGAATTCTCTATGGTTTGAGGGCACAATTCTGTGCAGGCTATAAATAAAGTGCCAAAAATGTTATTTTTGCCACTCTCATTTCCTAGAACAGTAATGAGAATGAAATAATGAGGATGATAATAATAAATAAATAGAATATAAAAAAACACTTCAAAAATCAAACACCTACCAAAAAATCCCCTAATAGTGTCATTCCCTTTTTGGGTGCATGTTCTTTGAATGGCCGGCAAATGAAAAGAAATGAATGCAACAGGCATGCCCTCCCCCTAGAAGAAATCCCCATTAAGCTATAGGTGCATAATTACATTTGCTTATGGACCCAGGTGCCATGTTGCAGCCAAGTTCCAAAAACTTGATAAGTCAAGTGTTCATTTTACTTCAAGATGATGTTGGACAAGGGGGACAGCTAACATCTGGATGCCCTCTCTTCCTCCAGGCCTTCCTTGCAGAGGCAGTGAGCCAAATGAAGCAGCAGAGCATCATATGCAACTTTCTCCTTTCTAATAACTCATTATCCATACACAGGCTTCCTGGTTGCCCTTTTTTTTTAATTTTTATTTTTCAAGTTTTCAAAAAAACCCACCAAACACAAAATTATATTATACATCTTAAACACATTGATGGGGTTACATTAAACATTTTTCTCAATCCAGTTGTAAACTTTTTGCCATTTTTGTTTAAATTTACATTCTGACTTTCTTAATAACAACATATTCAGCTTATCCATTTCTCCTATCTCAAAGATTTTGATAACTATTTCCTCTCTACTCGGTGTTTTATCCGTTTTCCAGTACTTTGCTACGAGAATCCTCGCTATTGTGAGTATGTATAGTATAATACTCAATTCATTGTATTTAATTCCAGATGGTATTATATTAATCAAATATATTTCTGGCAATAGTGGCAAGTCTATCTCTATGATTTCTTTTATTAGACGCTTAATACTTTTCCAAAATTTCTGTATTTTTTTGCATCGCCACCATATATGAAAGTAGGTTCCTATATTATTTCTACATCTCCAGCAATTTCCAAAATACATTTGCATAACACTTAAGCAGTTTATCAGGGGTCCAATGCCATCTATATAACATCTGGTTGCCCTTTTAAGTTATAATTTACTCACACAGTATACTTCTTTAACCACACATATTTGCCTATTTGTTAAAAATATTTCTTAAGGTCCAAGATTATTAATCTAAAATAGTAACAAAATTTAAGTGTTGCAAGAGTACTTACTCTATGTCTAACACCATGTAAGGGTTTGACTGCTCTTTATCTTGCTCACTGTCATAGAAGAGAAGCTTCTTGCTGCTTACAACTACATACTGTTTAAAAAACACACATAGGCATAATTTGAGTGTAAGCACAGGTTTTGTCACAAATGTTTGCTTTTATTTATAAGCCATCTCTCATCCATTATAACTTTTTTACAGGGTAAAACTATATCACAAAATATACTGAGACAACAAATTATTAGAATAAATATTTCAGCCAGTGGATTTAAAATCTTTTAAAAATGTATTATCCCAGTAACTATTAATTTATAATTAAATCAAGAAAAAAAGCATCTATAAAAGCATCCACCTCTCATTTGTAACAGGATATCTTACTGCTGGATTATTAAAATATGCAAACCTCTGTCTCCCACCAACTCCCCTTCAATCTGTACCTGCAAACTGACCATTTGGCCTAATGAGCCTTCCTCCAACTTTCCCCTCCTTCTGTGAAGGATGAGACACTTCAATTGGGAGGAAGGCTCCTTGGAGGATGGTTGGATCCAAAAACAAAAAAGGCAAAAAAAAAAAAGCTTAACATATTTTCAACTTATAGGTTCATTTACTTAAGAGCCTGGTTCCAGGCTACAGTTAGTATTTTGCGCAGCCAAACAAGAGCTTTGCTCTGCTGAGGATTCTAGTTTTCCATCCTCCTCCTCTCCACATTCCTAGGGAAAGTTAGCCAGTAATAAAGCAAAATAAACATCAAACAGAGAAAGGCAGCCAGCAGCTCCTGCTTCATTGTGTGAGAGAGTTTCTATCCCCTCCAGCTTTCTCTGCCTCTTGGGTGTGAGGTAAGAAAGAGGAGTCTCTTCAGAGAATTTTCTGCTTAGAATTCTCAACAGGCCAGCCTCTCACATGGTGAGCAGCCAAACATATAGTAAGCCGCAAGAAAAATAGCAAACACCTTGCAAAAAAAAAAAAAGTAGTATTTTATTGCTGGCTGCTGAATCAAGTACAAATAAGCGTTGAATGTCATGTCAGAACACATCAAAAAGTTATGCTTCTTTCTTACCTTTTTAACCCATCCAAACTTTTTGGTATTGTTTCGGACAGGCAAAGAAAGCCAACCTTCCAGTCGTGACTCTGGAAAAAAAATGGCAGCAAACACTGAAACCAGCAATAATTACACTCTCTTTAGTTTTTCAAAGTCATGTCAGATCACGAAAAATGCTTTTTCAAAGCTATGTTCATCTACAGCCCCATTCCACAAGCAGACACTGCAACCCAAACAGCTGAAGTTCAAAGACCACCCCTCAAAAAAGAACAAAGCTCTAGTCATAAAGTTGTGTTACTGGACATTTCCATTAGTAAAAGCATTTATTATTGTAAGGCAATGTTTGCTGCCAGCCATTCATTTTTCATCTGCAAAGGCACTACCAGTAATACACGTTCTCCTGTGGCTGTACCTTCAGAATATTTGAAAACAAGTCACTACCACTCAAAATATGCAGTAGTGCAATTCTAGGATGTACTAAGTACCTGGAGAGGTTACTGCTCCTAGATGTCTCTTTGGATAGCTGGTACTCCTATTCAAACATTTCCATGCTTTGTTCTCAGATGGATTAACTGGTCCCTGGCCAATACTGAAGAGCACCTTTACTCACATTAAGATTTCTAGTGCCAGCAGAGACTCTAAGACTTAAAAACCCCCTATGAACACAGTATACACTCTATCTTAGGGATCATCTTCAGACTTAACCGATTCTGTTGACAGAAGATGGCTCTGACTGGCCTATTCCCTTTTGCATTTCAGCTAGTAGTGAGTCTTATAGGTTTCTGTTCCATATACAGTTCATTATTCTCTTTTTTAATCTTCTTAATTTGGGTCTTATGATCACCCAGAATGGGAAGGTAACTCACTGCACAGATGCTGAACAGCAATACAACCAAGCCATTTTGCTTACATGAAAGGATAGTTCTCTGTCCAAGCAACCAAGGAGAACCCTTGAGGAGTTGGCAGTACCACTTGAGTCAGTGGTGTGGGAGAAGGCAACAGGCATAGCTTATGCCTGTCATTGCTTCCTGGACCCATGCAACCATTGCTGGCACACGCCAGTAGACAGTGCATTTTTTCAGCACTCAGGACAAAATATGTAACACCTCAGATTAAACACAAAAGGCAGTTATTCCATTACCTTATCACCTAGCTGATAAAATCAAGTCCTCTATAAAATTATCTATAAAATCTACGACAACAGATAAACATATATGTCTCAATCTACAGAACTTTGTAAAAGTTTCTAAACTCAACAGATTTTCACAAAACATTTTGCACTGGGGTTTCAACTTCAGTAAATATAAGTCTTGAAGAAGATGCTGGAGTTTAGAAAATCATTTTATGGAATCAAAATTTTCACTCAAATGTTACTTAAGACTACTTAACAAACTCTACATTGTAATGCCTTTTAATGGCTAAATGCCAACTACATAGGCCATAAAATATTTAATATGATAAGGTTTGTAGAAAAGATATTGTTAGAATCTTATTCTTGTTCTACTTCTTCAGAACCTGATGTAGCATAAATGCAATTGCAAGCCAGATTTTACTAATCTGTTTCCCAATTCTTGAATATTCTTCATCTATTGTTTTCACTGACGTTTTACATTTTAAGGAAAGGGATGGAAGGAAAGGCTGTGTTCCTGGAATAGATGAAGGAAAAGCAAACACTTTCCCAAGGGAAATCTCATCTATTATAGGAGAACAGCTTCGCAGTCTCCATGTTGCGATTGTTCTCAAGCACTGTCATCTGTTTGCCCTAAATACTATTGAAGTTTACAAACATAAATTCCATTTTCATATACCCTAGGTCAATTTCCCACTTTGTGTTATCTGCACTCCTGCCCATCTTACAGAAGTAAAATGGCTGGCTGCAGTAAGATTAAAAAAAAACCCTCTAAATGGACCAGTTGATGATTTAAGACCAAAATTTTCATAAGTTCCATATCTTCAGTAATTGGGACAAAAGCAAGAAACCAACACAAAAGTATCCACTTCTACAATTTACGTAACATACTTCTCAGTTTGGAAGACCCCAAATCAATCACCTTTCAAATTTATTACAACACTACAATACAGGTACAAAGAGACTACAAGGATTATTCTTTTTGGCAAGTTTCAGAGTTGAGTTACCTGTCCTCTCCTACCACACATCAAAATAAGTGACTGCTCACATGGAGTAACAGAAGCCATGCCAAAGCCAAAGCAAGTAATTAAGCAACTGGCAGTGAGAAATTGTAGGCAAGATCACACACCTGCACAGCCACTAGTACCCAGTGAGCTCCCATGCTGGGAAACTCTCAACAGGTACCAGAAGCAGGCTGCAAATCCTAAGCACACTTTCCTCAGAGTAAGTCCCATTGAATAAAACCGGACTTACTTCAGAGTAGACGCACTTAGGAATTCTCCTGCAATCACCTAGTTTAGGGAAACATTCTGTTCCCAACTTGAAGAGCCATTTTTAAGGCAGTATACTACTACAGATTTCTGTGTGTTTAACACATAAGCACACAAGAGGCACACTATATTTATTTCAGCGTTGTTCCCTATGAATGGAAGCAGAGTCGAGTAGCTGAATTCAGTTCTGGAGGGGAGAGGCTTGCCTGGGGATCTCCAGTCTTTCTCCAAGCCTTGCCTCCCATAACGAAAGCCAGAGAGAAAAAACTCCCCCTACAAACTGTCTTAGTGTACAGGGAACTATAACAGCTTAACAGAGAAAAGCAACATGAACTCCAAGTCCAAAAAACTTAGTATTGACTGTCTAGACTACACTAAGCCCATGGTTTTACAACTGAAGGTCATTCCCCATTTCCTAATTACTGGGGGCAACTGCCACTCAGACTCTCCAGCAGACCTCCAGCACTCCAGAAGCCGTCCCAAGAAAAACAAACTCAGTTGGGGAGGACTGCCCCACTCCTGGATACCGAGTTGGAAGCTTCATGGTAAGTGAAGATCTTTCGTTCTACGGTGGACCTGGGAGTGGGGCAGTCCTCACTTCCAGGACATAACAAGGCAGTGAGCCCTGGGGTGGGTTGACCAGCGTCCAGACCTAGAGGGTGTGTTGCAGACACCAGTGCCTGGTAACAGAATACATTGATTTCCATGTAGCCACTTTACAAACTGTCTGTAACAACAAGAAGGATCTGTAGGCTACAGGTGTCGCTGCCCCCTTAAAGAGTGAGCAGTGATTCCTGGCCTGGTACACCAGAATGATGTACCCCCTAATCCACCGACTAAGGGTGGAAGGGGAGACTCTCTGTCCCAGTGCGGTCTTCCTAAAAGACACAAATGGGGCATCAGACTTGCAAAATTGTTTGGTCCTATCGATACAGAAATTTAATGCTCTATGTACGTCTAGGCAATGCCACTCCCTTTCCTTCTTGTGTTTCGGGTCTGGGTAGAAGGAGGGCAACACTATCTCTTCTGTCCTATGGAAGGTGGAATTTACCTTCGGAACAACAGCTGGGTTAGGACGTAGTACTACTCTATTATTATGGAAGACAAAGAGCTCCTTATCTATAGAAAGCACCCTCAATGCCAAAACCCATCTGGCCAAAGTGATTCCTGCTAAGAAAATGGTCTTAAATGTCAATTCCTTAAGGGGACATGTGGCCATGGGTTCAAAGGGTTCTTTGAACAACGCTCTCAGCACCAGGTTAAGATTCCAGGTGGGGAAGCGATGAACCTGTGGAGGATTCAACAATGCAGCTCCCCTGAGAAACCTGTTGATATGATGATGCTGAGCCAGGGTTTTTTCCTTCCTAGTGCTCTTAATTGCTGATATAGCCACTACCTGACGTTTAAGGCTGAAACCTTTATCCAAACCTTCCTGAAGAAAAGACTGACACCAACAACACTTCCAGGCCCCATCCTAGACACCAAGATTGGAATACCTGCCAGGTATTGTTGTACACCCTGTTGGCAAAGTCACACGGAGGTTCCTTTTTGGGGTCCCTTCGTGTTCTTATTGGGTTTATGGAAGGAGGAAGACCTGCTCTCTTCTCATGGTTTAGACTGCTATCTGCCTCTGAAGGTTCTGGAGTATCCTGTGCACAAGGGATGTCTGGAGTTGCAAAAGGGCTGGAATCATGCCCTCTCCAAAGAGACTGATGCTCTTGAAGGAGACTATTACTACCTTAGCTTGGGCTAAGGGGTCCACATCCCAGCATCTAAGCCAGGTGTTTTGCCTAGCTGCCACACTGAAGGCCATGGCTCTAGCTGCCATTTGTAGAGCATCCACAGACATGTCTGCCGTAAAAGCTGTCTTCAAGGTGATCTTCTTGATTTCATCCTCGAGCTCCATAGGGACATTGCTGCTTGCCGCCACAAAGTCTGAAGCTCATGAGTATGCTGCTCTAGAGAATAGTGAACCTGCTGCCGATGCTCTCAGTGAATTTGCCAAGGCTTCGGAATCCCTTCACACAGCCTGTTCGATTCTCTTGTCGCAGGGGTCCTTGGTCAGACCATCCACCTCCATTAGTAGTAGTAGAGTTTGATGCCAGGCTGGCCACCGGTTCATCCACTAGAGGCAGTCTGATCCTCTTATCAGCCTCCAGAACCAGGGTACAGAACTTTTAAAAATATGGTGGTTAGCTTTTAGCTTTGCTGGGGCTTCCCACTTCACCTTCATCAAATTATTTTTAAAAATGCTAGTAGGGGAATCCCTGATGGTGCTACCCCTGACTTGGGAAGTGTTTTCTCTGTTCTATCTGCAAAATTTGGAGCCAGTTTC